TCGACGCTCATGATGGTGAGGAGGAGCATGAATGTGCCGAGCATCTCGCACACGAACGCGCTGCCGTGGTTCTCGTACGACTGCGGGTACGTCGCAAAGATGCCGCCCGTCTTGTTCCAGACGCGGTCGCCGTCGTACACGTTGATGGCCGGGAGGTAGATGATAAAGACAAAGAGTGCGCCGAGGAACGCGCCAAGCATCTGCGACAGCATGTAGAACGGCCACTTGCGCCACGGCATGATGCCATAGACGCAGAGCGCGAACGAGACGCTCGGGTTGAGGTGCGCGCCCGAGACGCCGCCGGCCGCGTGGATGCCAAAGGTGACGGCGAGGCCGCACCCGATCGAGATGTGGGTGTAGTCGCCGTTCTTGCCCTCGCCGAGGACGACCTGGGCGACGACGCCGTTGATAAAGGCCATCATGACAAACGTGCCGAGGACCTCGGCGATGCACTCGCGCAGCAGCGGGTCGCGGACGCGGTACCACGGGCGCTTGGAGACCGGCTTCTTCGTGTCAAAGCTCGTGACCGGGAGGTAGTTGGTCGTGGCTGGCTGGGCGTTCTCGCCGCTGCTCGAGTAGGTCTCCGCGCGCATTCTTGTGTGTGGTACTCGGCGGTCGAGGGCAAAACGAGTTGTGAACCATCGAGACGACGGGTGCTACGCATGTTGAAGTTGGCGCCGGTACGGGCGCTTCAAGGTCCGCCGGCCAATCCGGGCGAGCGCGGGACCGTCTGTTTGGAAAAGGTTTGGAGGGTACCGTAGCCCACCTGGCGGCACAGAAAAATGCGAAGGGCGGGGCGAAGCATGCACCACCACCGACCGTGTTCGGATCACGCACAGCCGATGCGCGCGATTTATCGGTAATTGTGTAACCTGCACTTCTTGCATCATACTCGCTTCGTGGCAGATGCTTGAAGAAGCCCTCTTTTGCAGTCGATGGGGATCGTGGGGAGCGGCGAGCGCTAGCCGAGCCCAGAAATAGCACCCACCCAGGCAGGCCGTTCGTGTTTTGGCGAGGTCATCGCTCTTGCGTGAGTGATGACTACACGACATGTATGGTCAACAAGGCGCTGCGGGGCGTGTCGTCATGACCGGGTCGTCGTCACTGTCTCGTGTTGACGCAGACGCGTCCAAGCGGCAAGTTCAGGAAAGGCAAGGTTCAACGTCCCACTCTTTGTCTTTTCGAAACGCCAAAAACACATGTTGCCATTACAACGCGCTATGCCGACCACGAATCCAATTAGATCACGAAATTCGACAAAACCCGCCACCGCTTTCGTTGAAAGGTGTGTTTTTGATATTTTTTACACGACTTGGCATTCTTGGAGACGCGTTCACCTCCCTCGTGCCATCCAGATCCGCAAGGAGCGACGAAACCAACGACGACTGGGGAGCTCAGTGTAGTAGTGCACCTATTGCAGCTAGTACATTGTATTTGCAATGGAATCTTCGCCGTCGCTTACGTTGACATGCCGCAACTGCACTTCACGTAACGGTGAAAAAGACGCTTACCACGTGCGTCACGGCCATTGCGTCAGCTTTGGCGTTCAATTTCGGCACTCTCGCCTACTCTGCAGGGTCGAGTCAACGCGAGCGACCCTACACCTTCTGTGTGGACACTCTACGTGACGAATCATGCCGAAAATCTTTACTTTGATCGTGTAATTTTTTGTGTTTGATGGCAAAGTTTAAGTTTGAGCACCTTTGCCAGCTTTTTGCGAAGGAAGCGTCACGTTCGAGCCCTATCGCCCCTTCCTCATCTGTCCTCTAATTGGTGGTGCCGGTATGAACCATCGCTGTGCTTGTTGGTATTTCTCGATCGGTCCGAGAAGGGCTCACTTACCATGGAGCAATGGGCAGTGGAGGTGCCAATCATGAGGCAACCGAGGTACTATAGTAGCGCAACTACGATTTATGCGATGGAGATTTAAAATGTTCTTGGGTACGGAGCGGTTCCATCATGAGGATCAGAGACCGACCACCAACTTTGATCTTTGCCCGTAGCCTTCGACCGTTTAGCTGCCCCAACGCGGCGAACCTGAATGGCTGGAACGGTATCACTAACATAGTCATCGAGCGACTGACTGCGGGTCGAAGTACTGCCGTGACCGCTCGTCCAAGAGAACATGACTTTTAACACGCAAGCGAGTTGCAGCTCCTTCTCCGTGCCCGAGCAGCGCCGTACCGCCGAGAGCGCGACTTCAACGTAGCAGTAGTAGCTCGATACTAATACACTGCGAGTAGGATCTGCTAGGTCATACATCGCGCACAGAACCAACTTCAAATAGGTACTAGTACTCTACATGCGTGCCTGAGAACCTTGGGGTTCGAGCGGTCGCCGTGGACTTCGACGCGCAGGTGCCAGTAATGCGCATCGTCCTTCGACGTCACTTCGAGACTGATTGTGCACCACGACGAGATATGGTGGAGGCCGGTGGGCTTTGGGTTCGCACGCTAGATTCTTTTTCAGAATCTATTTCAAAAAGTAGTACGGCCACCACTGCCCTACAGTCGTCGGCTCATCCGTCACCGCCGATGCGCGAATCGACAGGCATTCAAGAACGATGAGCGCGAAAAGTGGGGACTCGAAGCCGTGGCTAAATCGTCCTCGTCGACGTCGACGCTTCCCTGCGCCCATGCCGCAAGACGGCAACTTGCCGCGACAGCTGTTGGCGTTGCACCAGAAGGATCATCCATTGACCGATCACGACCAAGGGTGTGAAACGTCATATAGTGAAACCGAGTTACTCGTGGCACGCGCATATGGCTGTGTATCATGAACCAAGCCGATTGGTGATGCAGCGTCGGCTTGGTCGACGCCTATAAAGACACGGCAGCTCAATGGTTCAATGACAGTGCTGGGATGTCAGCGACAGGCGCCGACGACTGTCTAGTCGACGGGCCCGTCGCTCTTGCATTTGTGTCTTTTCGATTACAAGGATAGACTTGTGGGTCCAACCTCGGGCAGCCACATCCTCTGCATTGTAGCACCCACCAGTCTCCACAACCGTGGATTTTCATATCGAATTGGACTGAATTCGTCGAGTATCTATTGGCGCAGTCTCTACGAAATCCATTTCTATCCATTGAAGTTCAAATGCTACTTTGGGTGCGACACATACGACTCTCTCTACACTGTACACAACTCGTTTTCCGTAATCGCCTCGCGTGCCACGTGCTATTGGCATACAAACCCCAAGTGCGTTCGCGATCTAGGGTCTTGGTCCTTCAACCAGACGCCCTTGGACCTCGAAATGGATGGCAGTGCGATGTAATGGCCCCTCGACCAATCCCCGTTTTGGACCGTCACATGGCACGCTCAAAGGTGTAGGTCGAAGTGACTCGGGCCCGCTTTTGCATGCTAGCAAGTACAATCGACGAGTTGGGCCCTAGAACCTTCCCACCACCACTCTACCTCGTGTCGCAGCACAGCCCAACTCACATCTCCTGTAGACGATCACGCAAGGACCGTACGACCACAATCTCCCCGCATGCATTCCACTGCTACTAGTACCTGCCAAGCCTAGGAAAGAAGCACGACTAATGAGACCTGTGCTGCTCGTAGTGGACAGGCAGCTCGTCGCCGCCACTCGACTCGACAGGCGGCGCGAGCAATGTCGAGGAAACAATGCTGGTACCCAAGTGATTCTCCGGGCCCGCCTGCGACACCCTGGCCGACGTCGCCCCCCTGGCTCTGTGCCACCGTGGCATGTGATTGGCCGCACGCCCACATTGCCATCTTGAAGCGCCCGTACCGGCGCCAACTTCAACATGCGTAGCACCCGTCGTCGCGATGGTTCACAACTCGTTTTGCCC